TAATTTGGCCCTGAAGTTGCTGTTACAACACCCATTTCACAGAAGACACCAACTGTTGCATTGATTGACAGTGATAATAAAAGGCAGAGTACAGTTTGAACCCCAAGTACCAATACTCACCTCAAATCAACCCCCTTTCAATTAATTTATATAAAAATATTAATTTCCTTGGGGGGGGGGGGGGCTGGCAACCCTAGATCTACCCAATCATCCTCCCTGAATGATCCACAGGACTGCAAACACCTCTGGTCCTGGGAAGAATGGACTAGTGGCATACCAGTCAGCAACTGCCATACCAAGGGCAGCAACAGAATAACAACTGAACACAACTGTATGGGCGGGGTGTGTTAACATAGTGGCAATGGGAAAGCTAGAAGAAGAAAAATACTATATTCAGAAGGCGAGTTTATTAGACTGAAAGCTGCTTTGAAGATCGTATGGTCAAGACGAGGGCAGATTTTATCCGAAATTGTTTTGGTTTTGATTACGATCTGGTTTGGAAGCTCAACGGTAGGAAAGCGAACACGTTCTCCGATCAACACTTCCTGAGTTCTTCCTTGTACTTCCCTGCACGTGTATAAAAAATCCAGTACTGTTTGAACTATACTGTAGTCTCTGGCTTTTCTGTGAAACACACATGAAAGTGATGCCTTAATAAGGATATCGGGGGAGAAAACACAGAACCCGACGCCGGGAAGGTTTCCCAGTCAGAATCCTCCTCGCTTTAATCCACCGTTACATAGCCTTTGCTTTCTCTCCGTCATCTACAGCGGTCCACTGAAGGCGCGACCAGGGCGAGGAGGCATCTGGAGCCCAGCTGAGGCCCGGTCCTTCGGAACCGAAGCCGGACCCAAACACTGGACGCTGTGCCTCTACCACCACCTTCCCCCCCCCCCCTTTTTACCTCAGTCTCCCAGACCCTCTGGTAGTCGCCAACAGTGACGGCGATACGGGCGCCGCCATTTTACAGGGGTTCCAGTTTAGTCACATGATTAAAAGCCACCGGACATGACATGACTAACTTCCGTGGGCGGGCGCTGTTAGAACTGAGCCAAGAGAGACATGCATAAACACTAATAGGAAAGCTGAAGTTATCGGAGCTATTGTAGATAATAGATATCTAATGGGTATTAAATTGAATGACACAGTTTATCATAGAGATGCCTCATGATAAAGCGACGGCTATTCTGCACCCTTAGAGCATCCTTCATCCTCGTGTGAGACTGTGTCATCCTAAACCGAGTTAAAAGGTAAACGTAAAGGTTCCCTTGCTCGAAAGCCAGTCGAATCCGACTCTAGGGTTGCGGTGCTCATCTCCGTTTCAAAGCCGAAGAGCCAGCGCTGTCCAAAGACGTTTCCGTGGTCATGTGGCTGGCATGACTAAACACCAAGGCACACGGAACGCTGTTACCTTCCCACCGAAGTGGTCCCTATTGATCTACTTGCAATTTCTTGCTTTCAAACTGCTAGGTTGGCAGGAGCTGGAACTAGAGACAGGAGCTCACTCCGTCATGCGGCACACTCGGGTCTTGAACTGCTGAACTACTGACCTTCCACAGCCTGCAGTTCAGCGTCTTAACCACTTGAGCCACCGCGCACCTTTCTAAACCCAGTGAAGCCTTAGGGGCTCTTTAAAAACATATGGCTGCAACGGCTGCGGGGCGAAACGGTTCTCCTGCCTCCCTGAGCCCCGGGGTGGTGGCTTTGGACTCCTGCACGGACATCACACACCAGAGGTCATTCTGGCTCCCCCAGCTCTTGGGAGGGGCTCTTTAAAAAATTATGGCTGCCGCCGCTGGCGGCAGCGGCGACGCCCTTGGGAGGGAGGGGCGGGGCGAAACGTTCTCTTGCCTCCCTGAGCCCCGGGGTGGTGGCCTTGGTCTGTGCTGGCTTGGACATCACACGCGAGAGGGCATTCTGGCTCCCCCAGCTCTCGATAGGAGCTCTTTAAAAGCTTATGGCCGCCGCCACTGTTCTCGGGGGATGCCTGCGCAGGGGGGGGGTGCCTCCCTGAGCCCGGGGTGGTGGCCTTGAAATTGTGTGATGGCTCGGACATCACACGAGAGGTCATTCTGGCTCCCCCAGCTCTCGATAGGAGCTCTTAAAAAAGTTATGGCCACCACCGCTGGGTGGCAGCCGCGATGCCCGCGCAGGGGGAGGGGTGGGGCGAAATGTTCCCTTGCCTCCCTGAGCCTTGGGGTGGTGGCCTTGGACTAGTAGGGGCAAAATCCACCTCTTGCGCGAGAGGTCATTCTGGCTCCCCCAGCTGTCCTTAGCGGCTCTTTAAAAAGTTATGCCCCCCACCTCGCCGCTGCCGCTTTCGGCGGGAGCTGCAATCACCGCGGGGGGGG